TGACGGTCCCACCTGAAGACGGAGACTTGTGTTGCCTCCGAAACGTCGTGATTTAATTGAGTTATTTAATTTATTATTTTATTATTATTTTTTACCTACGTGACTTTACCGAAAAAACCTAAGAGTATGAACCCGGACGGAACTTTTGGCCATTGTTTACTTTGTCCTTAAAAACAGGCCGTACCTCTATGGCAGGGAATTTGTTGTCCACACCGATCATACAGCTCTTCAGTACTCCTTGAAAATTGAACAGCCAGCTGGCCAGCTCTCTCGTTGGCTAGAGATTCTGCAGGAATTATCTTTCAACGTTGTTTACCGTAAAGGTTTTCGCCACTGCAATGCGGATGCTTTGTCGCGGCTGCCACAATCGCCTCGTTGCCCGTGTCTGTTGGGTACGAGTCATTGTGGACCCATCCCATCACAGGCTAGTACGGCTATGTCGGCGGTTGATGCTTCCCAGCCTTTGGACGCGACCGTGCCGATTGACAGTGTTTTGCAACTTCCCCGCTCCATATGGATATACGAGCAGCTCCTTGACGTCTCATTAGGGGATCTGCGGCGTCGGTCTGAGCACAGGCAGGGGCGTACGATTCGGCTGGGGATGGCCAGGTGATTTTGCATGATGGCCTTTTGATGTGGAGGGAGGACGCGTTGGATCGTTGCCGCATTGTCGTTCCTCTTCCTCTTCGGTGCAGGTTGGTCTGCGCTCTGCACGGGGAAAAGTTGTTACACCTGGGAGTGCAAAAATCTCTGTTGACATTGCAGCGGGATTATTATTGGCCGGGTATGACGGCCGATGTCTCCAAATGGATCCGAGCTTGAACTGATTATGCTCAAAGGAAACTGCTGCAACAGAAAGGCCACCCGCCGCTGCAGTCTATTTCAGTCTCGAGCTGGTGGCGCTCGACATTTTGGGGCCCCTGCCGCTCACAGCTATGGGGAATAAGTTCCTCTTGGTGGGTGTTGAATATTTTACCCACTGGCTGATGGCTTGGCCGCTCCCGGACCAGTCGGCGGCCTCCATTGCTGACGCATTTTTGAATGGGTATGTTATGGATAAGGGTGCTCCCGAACAAATACTTACGGACCAAGGCCGGAATTTTTCCTCTAAGTTGTTGCGGTCGAATGCCTAAACAGGACCCTGTCTGCCATGCTGTATCAGATGGTGGACACCAAGCAGACTGATTGGGATCTGCAGGTGTCTAGTGTACTCACTGCATATCGGATGCCTCCTCATGCTTCTACGGGGTTTTCGCCATTCTTCCTTATGTATGGCCGAGAAAACGTGGCACCTATTGATACCCAATTGGGAGTACCGATGGCTGATTCTAAGTGTAAACTGCCTGAACATGTCCATGATTCCTTGCGACGTCTTTCTGACACACGAGAGGCTGCCAAAGTCAATACCGCTAAGACACAGGGGCGAAATGAACGTCTTACTCGCAGGTCTGACCGTCAGGTGCCGTGGTCTGTTTTGGACAGGGCTTTGTTGCATTGCCTCAAGAGTCCCATTGGCACCTCTCCTAAGTTGCATAAGCCCTGGCGGGGACCAGTCAAGGTGATCCGAATCCTTCAGCCACAATGTGTGCGTATCCAGGCTGGTCGCCGACATTGGTTTGTTTACCCCTCGTGGCTGAAGCCGTTTGTTCCTCCTCCACTTACCCCTTCATCTCCACCAATTAGCCTGCCGAAGTCTGACGTGTTTGACGGACCGGGAACGGCGCTGTTACGTGATGACCGCCTGAAGGGCTCTGTTTTGCCTTCCACAGTGTCCGAGCCCATAACTGCCAATGTCGATGACCAGGCCCTGCTGCGATGGAGCCTCTGCTCCGCCGTCGCTCATCCTGCCACTCGCTCATCCTGCCACTCGTGCCGTCTAAGGGCCGGCATCACGGACTCGCTCCAAGATGCTGCGTTTCTGTTGATTCGCCACGCGCCGTTCTCTTATTAACATTCGATTTTGTTCTCTTGTTAATGTTCTATGTTGTGTTGGCCTCGGCCTATTCAGTGCTACCCTCTGCACGCGCGCCACATGCGCCCACGTTGCATCTCCTCATTACTCGTATTGGGTTTTACCTCTAGCCGGGACGGCTAGTCTTTTTTTATCATCGGGGGGGGGGGGGGGTGATGTAATGAGGGAGCGCCATCCAGGGGATACCAGGGGGTAACGAGTACGGGCATGATGATGTCATCGGGATCCAATCCGAGAGGGGGGATATGATCGGGCCGGTGAGGCATTCGGGCACCCTCGAGAAGTTTTCCCGAGGGGGTGTGACCAGAGGCGGGGCTTCGCTCCACCAAGGGGGATATAAGGGAGAGCGGGGGGAAGGTTCGGGGTCAGTGTGGAACCCTGGGTTCCGGACGGCGGCGCTGCCTTCTCCTCTTCGCCACGGGCCACGTGGCGGGTCTTCCCTCGGAGCTCGCCTCCAGTTCCAGCGTGCCGTCAGCCAGCGGCGAGGCCGGAGAGTGGAGCCCCGCGGGAACGTGGAGAGAGAAAGAGGCACTTCGTCCATGGGTTGGGAGAGTGGAATCATCAGGAGGGAAGTGAAACTGTACTGTACCGTTCTGAATAAAGAAGCACTCAACAAGCTCCGTCGTGGAAATACTTTATTACACTTGTGTGTTCAACCATTCCATTGCATGCGGCGATATCAAACAAATATGTTTTCCATGGGTTACTGTCATTATTCTATCATTCCCCAGACAACGAAACACTCAAATAATTCACTATGAGATCTCTTTTACAAATGGCAAAATATAGTAGTAGGTTTTTACCCTTTTAAACTGGTACAAAACTGACACCTTTATTCAAGGCATCATGTTTGCCATAACCACAACACAAGTAGTCAAAAAAGCAAACAAAAAAGAAGCAACTATGATAATGATAATAATATGCATTGTCCTTGAAGTTGATTGGTCCAAACCCGAGACGGCTTTCTTTAGAGCCTAGTCCCCATTGGTGTTGGACCAGATGACACGAGAAGGCGTACAACTCAAACACAGTGCAATATCAGAGTATTGAGAGCTCGGGGTAAGCATTTACACTATGAGATCTCTTTTACCAGTGGCAAAATATAGTAGTAGGTTTTTACCCTTTTAAACTGGTACAAAACTGACACCTTTATTCAAGGCATCATGTTTTCCATTACCACAACACAAGTAGTCAAAAAAGCAAACAAAAAGAAGCAACTCTGATAATGATAATAATATGCACTGTCCTTGAAGTTGATTGGTCCACACCCGAGATGGCTTTCTTTAGAGCCTAGTCCCCATTGGTGTTGGACCAGATGACACCAGAAGGCGTACAACTCAAACACAGTGCAATATCAGAGTATTGAGAGCTCGGGGTAAGCAGTTACACTATGAGATCTCTGTTACCAGTGGCAAAATATAGTAGTAGGGTTTTACCCTTTTAAACTGGTACAAAACTGACACCTTTATTCAAGGCATCATGTTTGCCATAACCACAACACAAGTAGTCAAAAAAGCAAACAAAAAGAAGCAACTCTGATAATAATAATAATATGCACTGCCCTTGAAGTTGATTGGTCCACACCCGAGACGGCTTTCTTTAGAGCCTAGTCCCCATTGGTGTTGGACCAGATGACACCAGAAGGCGTACAACTTTTTTGACTACTGTAGAGGTGTAATTGTATATGGGCACGGATGGCTAACAAACACAAGGGGCGTGGTTAGGGCCGTACACAGAGGAGGTGCTCACACCGACGTCCGCACCTGCATCCCCCACGGGCCCCTCCTGGGGGCCGAGTGCTATAAAAGGTGGTGAGCTGGAGGGCTCGAGGTCGAGTATTAGCTTAAACCAGCGAAGAGCGAAGACCAGCTAGAATAAGGCCCCGGAGCTCCCCTGGCTCGCTGTCCTTGTCAGGACCGACCAAGTCAAGCCGGTGGCGTGGCCCCGAGAGCCCAGACTGACGTTCTTATAAGAGCCGGTCTGGAGACTCAGGGTGCCGGGATCCCAGCTTGACCAGGGCTGGGATAGGTAGCCTCCCCTAGCTCCGTAGTGGAGGACTCGGGCGTAGGTTAGCGGGGTGAGATGTTGTGTCTCCCTGTTAGAAGAGTGAAGGGGACGATACCCCCCTAAGTGCTGTGTGTACCCGTTACTGTGCACAAGTTGTTGTTAATAAATAAGTGTGCCTCCGACTCCGTCGTCAAAGCCTCCTGAATACTTACTACACTACTATACTCAAATAATTGACAGATACTTATTGGAAAGACAGATATACACTGTCCAAAGCGTAAAGTTAATATTTTTCAAATGTCCATGTTGGTTTCTGAAGGGTTGCATTTGCGTGTGTGCGTGTGTGTCGGCTGTTATTGGTCATACAGAGACATTCCACTTTATTTTGTTCAATGGGATCCACCTCATCTTTGACAGATTTGGAATGTTAAGTAAATCATTTTTAAGTGGGCTGTAGAGTACTGTGATGTGTGTGCTAATAGATGCATTGTGTGTGGCTTTTACTATATTATAAAACATGATTTTAGTGAAACCTGTGGTATCCTTGTTTGTGGATGTTTGCTTCTCTCATGTTCTTGTTCAAATACCAAGTCCCCTTTAAAATGTTACTTATGTTCCTGGTTAGATTTAAGGACATGTCCAATAATAATAGTGAATTAATTTCCTGCTCAACAGAGCATTTGAGGCTGTGCTCATTCTATTCACAGCCCTGAACCAGTGGTGGAAGTTCCGCATTTCTACATTTGGCGGGGTTGGGAATCTATCCATAGGACAACCTCTGTTGACTTTCGCACAAATGTTATCGACCCCGGAGGGAGGGATGGTGGGCCGAGTGAACTGCCAACTAGGATTTGAATTAGCAACATTCCCATTGTGAGCCGTTCAATCTACTACTGTGCCACCAGGCCGGATTATATATGTGATGTGTACGTGTAATGTGCATTGGTGCTAAGTTGTAAATTTGGCATTTCGATATTCAGATAATGATTTCACGATGTATTTTGACTTTTGTTTCTTGTAGTGTCTACAACCTGCCCAACTTAAGAATGTTGGACGTATCATATAACAGCATCACTTCTCTCAGTGAGGATATAAAAAAATTAAGGTAAGTGTCTAATTTGAATTAACGTGCAGTTCACATAATGATTTCAGTCACCCAAATAATTTGTTCCAATTACAGTGCAGCCTTTCTCAAGCCACTGCTGGATGAAGGGCCTCCCCACACTGTGCTACAGAAAGATGCCTCTTTGAAGCTCGCCCGCATTGCTTTAACTTAAAAAATCAATGTATGTGCACATTTTCACTTTCAAAGTATATGTTTGATACTGAATGTCGACGAGCAGAAAAGTGCTCTTATGTGAATTCAAACTTAATTTGGCAATGAAAAATTCCCAGTCATCTCAGGGCACCACTGAATAATGTGCGATCTCAACTATATAATCAATCTTTCTGCCCTTTCCCTTTTGCTCTGAAGATGGGCCATTGCCCAAAATATCACCCTGCCATGTAATTTTATACATACAAGGCGTGATGCAGATTAATGTGGTGAATATTTTGTAACTATAAATTCGTTCTTTTCTCTACAAAGTTTCAGAATGGGAATGGAGTTGAAACGTTACCCTAACCTCCTGGTTCTTGTTGAATGTGGGCCAGGTTTCTTGAGTGCCTAAACATAGAAGGGAATCACTTGACAGAGCTCCCAGCCAGCTTCCTCTCGCTCCATTTGCGCGAGTTCCAAGCAAACAACACCTTCTTGTTTGCCGGTTTGTCCAAAGAAGGCCTGGCAGATGGAATAATACCCCAGCGTCTGGCTGACCTGGCAGCCACTGCAGTGTCTTGCATGCAGAGGGTCCATGTTCACACCCTGCCGCAGGCTGCAGCACTCGCTCAACGCAGGTGAATGTCTTCGTCGCCAACTGCAGCTCTTCTCTGACTGACCCAAATTTCATGCTGCCAAATCTTCAGTGCAACACAATTGTTGTTTTCAATGATATGGGGGGTGGGCTGTGTCTTGGATAAGCAAACTCACAGATAAACGGAGCTTTCATCCTGTTTCTGTGGTTAATGTATTGTATCCATGAGCATTCATCCAAGTTACCACGGATAAAAGTATGTGTTTAGTACAGAACTCTTATCCTTTGTATTAGCCCATAGATATATAAAGGTTCCATGGCCCTTGTTTGGTCGAATTGTTTATATAACAACGGACCTCCCCAGCATCCCCTCTCTAAGGTGGCTCCCTCCCACACACAGCCTCCCACCCTCCTCACGCCCTTCCCGAGCTGCCATCACCCACGTCCACCCCCTGACGCACGGGCTCCCCCACCCACGCCGCAGCCATCCGCACACTACCTACCCCTCCCCTGTCTGATTGGCACATACAGTGAGGGAAAAAAGTATTTGATCCCCTGCTGATTTTGTATGTTTGCCCACTGACAAAGAAATAATCAGTCTATAATTTTAATGGTAGGTTTATTTGAACAGTGAGAGACAGAATGACAACAACAAAATCCAGAAAAACGCATGTCAAAAATGTTATAAATTGATTAGCATTTTAATGAAGGAAATAAGTATTTGACCCCCTCTCAATCAGAACGATTTCTGGCTCCCAGGTGTATTTTATACAGGTGTAACGGGTTCCGGAGACACTTCTAGATGTACCTCTTTATTACAATACAACACTCCAACAGTACTCCAACTCTCCAACAGTCCTGATACTCTGTTACAGCCTAGGTACACAGCCTAGCTACACAGCCTAGATACACAGCCTAGATACTCTACTCTGGCTACGCTCCGGAACTCGCCCTCACAAGGCCGTAGAGTCGGGAGTTCCAGAGTCCCAGCGCTGGCTCTCACAGCATCCCAGGGTCTTCCGATGGCTGGTCGTGGGTCTTGGGTCTTGAGTTACAACTGGGCCCCGATCGTCCAGGGAGCTCTCCTTTTATGCCTGGTCCGACGAGGGGTGGGGCCGTGTGCGCCACCAGACATCCCACAGAGCACACACAGCCCCCCCCCCCCCCGTTGGCGGCGCCAAAAAGGCTTAAGCGCCTGGGAACCCAACGCCTGGCGCCCAAAGGCTTAAAAGCGTGTGTACCCCCTGGGAACCCAGTGCCTGGTACCCAGAGGCTTACGCGTCTGGACCCACCTGGGAACCCAGAGCCTACAGCAGCCCCTCCCTTCTTATGTCACTACACAGGTAATGAGCTGAGATTAGGAGCACACTCTTAAAGGGAGGGCTCCTAATCTCAGCTTGTTACCTGTATAAAAGACACCTGTTCACAGAAGCAATCAATCAATCAGATTCCAAACTCTCCACCATGGCCAAGACCAAAGAGCTCTCCAAGGATGTCAGGGACAAGATTGTAGACCTACACAAGGCTGGAATGGGCTACAAGACCATCGCCAAGCAGCTTGGTGAGAAGGTGACAACAGATGGTGCGATTATTCGCAAATGGAAGAAACACAAAATAACTGTCAATCTCCCTTGGCCTGGGGCTCCATGCAAGATCTCACCTCGTGGAGTTGCAATGATCATGAGAACGGTGTGGAATCAGCCCAGAACTACACGGGAGGATCTTGTCAATGATCTCAAGGCAGCTGGGACCATAGTCACCAAGAAAACAGTTGGTAACACACTACGCCGTGAAGGACTGAAATCCTGCAGTGCCCGCAAGGTCCCCCTGCTCAAGAAAGCACATATACATGCCCGTCTGAAGTTTGCCAATGAACATCTGAATGATTTGGAGGACAACTGGGTGAAAGTGTTGTGGTCAGATGAGACCAAAATGGAGCTCTTTGGCATCAACTCAACTCGCCGTGTTTGGAGGAGGAATGTTGCCTATGACCCCAAGAACACCATCCCCACCGTCAAACATGGAGGTGGAAACATTATGCTTTGGGGGTGTTTTTCTGCTAAAGGGACAGGAAAACTTCACCGCATCAAAGGGACGATGGACGGGGCCATGTACCGTCAAATCTTGGGTGAGAAGCTCCTTCCCTCAGCCAGGGCATTGAAAATGGGTCATGGATGGGTATTCCAGCATGACAATGACCCAAAACATACAACCAAGGCAACAAAGGAGTGGCTCAAGAAGAAGCACATTAAGGTCTTGGAGTGGCCTAGCCAGTTTCCAGACCTTAATCCCATAGAAAATCTGTGGAGGGAGCTGAAGGTTCGAGTTGCCAAACGGCAGCCTTGAAACCTTAATGACTTGGAGAAGATCTGCAAAGAGGAGTGGGACAAAATCCCTCCTGAGATGTTTGCAAACCTGGTGGCCAACTACAAGAAACGTCTGACCTCTGTGATTGCCAACAAGGGTTTTGCCACCAAGTACTAAGTCATGTTTTGCAGAGGGGTCAAGTATTTATTTCCCTCATTAAAATGCAAATCAATTTATAACATTTTTGACATGCGTTTTTCTGGATTTTGTTGTTGTTATTCTGTCTCTCGCTGTTCAAATAAACCTACCATTAAAATGATAGACTGATAATTTCTTTGTCAGTGGGCAAACTTACAAAATCAGCAAGGGATCAAATACTTTTTTCCCTCACTGTAATATGATGTGGAGATGGGACGGGAAGCTCAGATGTCAAAGCGATGGATTTACATAGCAGAGATCCTGGATCCAAATCCACCCTGGCACCTCCATATAGCACGGTTGGCTACGTATGGTCCAAAAGAAGTTCATACATACAGGCAGCCGCTGCATGTAATTAAACCGGGTTCTCGAATTCAATGAGTTGTTCGTTTCAGCCTGGTTACTGACTGCACACAAAATAAGCAATATTTTTAAAAACTTTTTTAAACATGCTTTTATGAAATGTACTAGTAATGACAGAACTCCATGACTCCAGTAAGTGGCCCCGAAGCTTACCATAACGTAAGGGACCGTGGCCAATTACAGCCAAAGTCAGTTGACCGTGGACAATTATACCCAAGTCGAAACATAACATATAAAAAATAATGTAAAAAAATATAGTTATTTTATTTTTTATGATAGAATATAGTATCACATAAGTATACCAAGTTTGCAGTCGATACCACATTGGAAAGTGGGTTAAAATTGAGTTACAAGATTTGAGGATACAACAACGACAACAACATAGTGAGTTAAAAGAAAGCATGTAAAAACGCATTAGATATAGTTCAGAACATTATTTGGTTAAATTCCAGCTCGAATAAATAAAATATAGGTCTTACTGTCATGCAACTGTAATGACCGAAAAATGACTCCAAGCCAATGTGCAGCCTAACGGCTATTCGAAAATCAACCAAGGTCTCCCATTGGCCGAAAGAGGCATCCACAGGGATTGGTCGGGAGGAAGGCTTTTAAAGTGATTGGAGAAAAGGGTTTAAAGGAGGCGGCAAACAAAGTGGAACCCAGGATCCGTTAGAGGGGAAGGAGAGGGATTGGCTAAGGGAAATACAGTGAGGGAACATTCCAGAAAGGGGACTGGAACGATATAAAAGGGCAGAGCACAAGATCGAAGCCTAGGGTCCCGTATTGTGGCTGTGTCCCAATAACGTGGCTCTTCTTACTTCGTCGTCAGAGTCGTTACACAACGACCATTACTCTCCTATGCAAAGCTGATCATAAAGTGCTCGTGTGTGTGGACGATCGTGACACATGATGTGATCTCAGAGGTAGTTCTGTGGTATCCGCTTCCACGGGCCGTTCTCCAGCACAGAGGGCTCTTTTTCATCCGTCCGAGAGATCATCCATATATAACTCATAACGTGACACCGATAGTACAATGGGGATACACATCAGAGACAGATGTTAATTAAAATTATTAAAAAAAACTAATCAATTGTATTTCAGGTGGAAGCATGAGCTGATGATTTTCTCTGAATTCAGATTTTCCATGTTTACAAGGCCTTCTTGTTTATGCAGCGTGAAAACGCTGTTACTGTTTTCAGCATTCTCATAGGAACCTATGTCCCTGGTTGTTTTCCCATAGAGCCGGCGAGTGCGACGTCTGCTGCGGTCCACGTTTTGGTGCAGGCCTGCGTGTTCTGCGGTCCGTTTCTCAAGTGTTCGGCGTTCGAGGCCTCATCTTCTCCTTCTGCTGCTGCTCCACGATGTGTCAGCACTGGCTGCTGGCACAGCGCAGTGCTGTGACGTTTCCTGTGTGCCTGACGCACAGGAACTCTGACCCACAGTAAGATTCTCCACAATAGGAAACCGAGTTCCATCTGCACATAAGTCTGTTAGCTCCACCTCCAATTAGCACGATTGGCTATGTACGGTGCGAAATAAGTTCAACATGCATCCATAACTGGAGCTTGTCAACCTTCAAAGGATTAATATACAGTGAAACCTTGGATTGCGAGCATAATTAGTTCCGGAAACGTGCTCGTAATCTAAAGCACTCTATATCAAAGCGAATTTCCCCATAAGAAATAATGGATATTCAGATTAATTGTTCCACAACCCAAAAATATTCAGAAAAAATTATTAATACAAAATACTGTACCTTTTTATATTTTTATTTAAATTTAATATAAAGTAATCAAATGTATTTGTAGTGCTGAACTTTACGCGGACAACTTCTTCCTTTTCTGTCGTCACTTTATTTTGTCCAACACAGCACATTTCGCCACCATCCTTTAGCGCGTTCTCCGCTCGCTCACCGCGCTCCGCAGGCCTCGCTCACTCCGTTCCTCCCTCTCTCCGTCTCTCCCGACTCTCTTCTCTGCTTCCCCGTCCCACTCCAGCCGTCGCTCTCTCTCGGCTTCTCCATCTCACTCCGACTGTTACTCTCGTTCAGCTTCTCCGTCTCTACTGCTACCCTATACTTCTTCTTCCACTCCACTGCTACTCTACACTTCTTCAACTCCACTACTACCCTACACTTCTCCACTGCTACTTTATACTTTTTCTTCTACTCCACTGCTACCCTACACTTCTTCTACTCCACTGCTACTCTACACTTCTTCTTCTACTCCACTGCTACCCTACACTTCTTCTTCTACTCTACTGCTACCCTACACTTAAATTTCGATTTAAAGCTTTCGTGACTGCAGGGATTCATCTTCTTGGTTCTTTCGGTAAAGTCACGTAGAAGGGAAATAATAAAATAATAAAAATAAAACAATAAAATACAATTCTCATGACGTTTCGGCCACAATGCAAGCAGCCGTCCTCAGGTGAGGAACAGGTCTGTCGGAAAGACAGCGTCTGAATGAACACCACTAAGCTTGGCAGCGTATATTTAAGCTGGGTTAGAGGAGGAAGGGCGCCTTGACAAAGGAATTTCCTTTTCTGTCGTCACTTTACCCTACACTTCTTTTTCTCCACTGCTATTCTGCGCTTCTTCTTCCGCTCCGACCGACTCCGTCCAGCTCCCAGCACAACTCCCCATCTTGCTCTGACGGTCCCCTATTTATCCCCCTCTTTTTTCGATTTAAAGCTTTCGTGACTGCAGGGATTCATCTTCTTGGTTCTTTCGGTAAAGTCACGTACAAGGGAAGTAATAAAATAATAAAAATAAAACATAATAAAATTATTCTCACAATAATTTTATTATGTTTTATTTTTATTATTTTATTACTTTCCTTCTACGTGACTTTACCGAAAGAACCAAGAAGATGTATCCCCCTCTTCATTAATTCCCAATTAATTAGTTCCCAGACTTAGCGGCGCCACCCTGCCCCTGACAACAACAACCGGCCAATCACTGCCCCGCATTCCTAATTGCCTAACGGGCCGTCTCTGACTCCTCCGTTGTCCCCCAGCAATACCAGCCTGTCCCGGTATGACCCCACTGTTCCCAGCCCACACGTGTTTACACTTACCCCCCTTGGCGCGCGTTAAACCACTACATATTAATTAAATTTAATCATGGCTAGTGTGAGGGAGACGAGAGGAGAGGAGGAGGAGGGTTATTGTGTAGGACGACTTTCCCTGTCACTAACGGAATCATTGCTATCTTTTGGCTCACTGGAATCTTTTTCTTTTTGTGCGACTTTAACAAGGAACCTCGTTCGTGCTTCTCGATGATTTCCTTCTTAACTTCCACCGTAATCATCTCCTTCTTCTTACCGCCTTCCTTTTCAACCTTTTTCTTCATGGGGGGCATTGTTGGAGTACAGTTACTAAAGAACAGTCACTACACTTGGACACAAAATTTAAAAAATGCTTTACGCACTCACACGTGGTCACAACACTATACAGTACTGTAGTAAACAGTATACGCTCGCATGGATGTTGACTATACAAGTGAGGCATGCCGACTGAGAGATGATTACCCACAACCCCTCAGCGTGAGAGAGAGAAGAACCATTGGCTCAGTTGTGATCACGTGACGCTCGGCAGACAAAGCGTATACTGTACGTACTGATCGTATTGCAAGACATCGCTCGTTTATCAAATTAATATTTATTTTAAAAAAATGCTCGTCTTGCAAAACACTCGAAGACCAAGTTACTCGCAATCCAAGGTTTCACTGTATTGTGATTTAAAAAAACAAAGGATAATACATGTCTTGATTTGAAGCTTTCGTGATTGCAGGAATCCATACTCTTTGGTTCTTTCGGTAAAGTCATGTAGGTATAAAATAAAATAAATCACGACGTTTCGGGCGCAACACAAGCATCCGTCATCAGGTGAGAAAGCATGGTCTGCTGCTGAGGCAGACTGTTTTTCTGAGGCAGACTGTTTTTGACAGTCAGCCTCAGCAGCAGACCATGCTTTCCCACCTGATGATGGACGCTTGTGTTGCGCCCAAAACGTCGTGATTTATTTTATACCTACGTGACTTTACCGGAAGAACCAAAGAGTATAATACATGTGTTGCGCCGTTACCAGGGCGCTGTTACTTTACTCGTCACCACCCTCACAGGCCGATAGGGGGCAGCCGGAAGATTGAGCGGGATGTGTAGTGGTAAACCTAACGTAACCCCCTGGGTATCTCATGACCGGAGGTGGAGACCCCAGACCCCCAAGGGGTGGGGGCTGGGGGCTAACGGTTCATTCCCGACCCTTCCAGAACCCTCTGGAAAGTTCGAGAGGGGAGCCGTGGTTACGGGGCGGGGTAAGCCCCAATTTGTGTATAAAGCCGGTCCTCTCAATGGGACTGGCAGTGTTCGTCCCCTCAAGACCCGAAGACATCGGAAGACTAGACCAGCACCCTAGGAGCCTCAACCGAGGCTCTTGTAAGAGCCGGGTTGCAGCGGACCAGCGGTGAGACCCGTACCCTGGCTAGGTCGGGTCAGTCTAGCCTCCCCTAGCTCCCGTAACGGAGGACTCATGAGAGCATAGTCTGGAGTCTGTAGGGCCCGCTAGAATGGAGGCTGTAACTCCCTTAGGCTATCGGATGAAGGGGCCGTACCCCTTAGTGTTACGGGGGCCATACCCCTTAGTGTTACAGCTATTGTTATTGTTTATCTGAAATAAACGCGTTGCCTCTAAGAAGACGTCTCCTCGAAGTTTATGCCCACAACACATGTTTAAACATTTTATCTAATTTTGCAATAAGTGTATATCATCCATCCTACCGAGAGACTTGGCAGTAAGGTTCGAAATACAAAACAATTACAAAAGTTAGTTAATAATTACACATTAATCTAGAATGCTATGAACGCTCAAAATATAAATAACAAAAAAACCTCAAAACATTTGTCAGTAACACTGCCTTATCAGTATATAATCGGAGACGTTTCAGGCAATCGCCCTTCATAACACAGAGTTACCAGAGTAATGGTGGATAATAGTTGGAGACTGCACTTGACACCTTGGGGCCTGATAAGAAATGTACAATGTTTACTGATTTATGTTATTTTATTGGCATATGAATCCTTTACCTATTAGTGGCTCTTGCGTGACAGACAAGCCCTGAAATAATGAAAAATCCATTACTAAATAAACTAATTTGTATTGGAAGTAAACTTTTTAAGTGTTACTGGCACATTACATTATGTTATATAGTGGCCAATGAAACCATAATTTGCAGAAACCACATTTGTGATGCATTCCATGGCTAGTTTGAAAAGGATTTGAGAAGCTCTCAAGAATATCAGGATCAGTTTTGACACGTCGTAGGCTTTCACGACCAATATCCATAAGAGGTTTTTGGGTTATGTCGCGTAAAGCCACAACTCTGTCGCCTGATGATGCTGGTTGTAATTACCGGCGAAACGTCTCGAATTGTAAATGGGTTTACTCTCCAACACACCGATGTGCTGAACTAGTAATGAATTGGCATGTTTTGTTTTCGGGACAACCGTTACTAATTGTCTGTGTCGGGTGGTGGCGAGTTTAACAGCACATTTCTATTTACAAGTAAATATTGTGGTTAATAGAGACATAATTAGCCGAGGTATTCCTAGTTCTGAGGTCTTGCATTTACTTGCAAATTCCATCTCTAGCCCTGCCTACTCCAAGCATATATAACCTTTGGTTGCAGTGGCTCTGCATTTGGCTCAAGCAGCTCTCTCGCTATATTTCTCTCAACGGTCCGCCAGCTGTATTTGTTCACCTGAGGACGATCGCTCGTGTTACGTCGTGGTTTTTTACCTTTTTATTATTTTCTATCTACGTGACTTTACCGAAAGAACCAAAGAATATATGCATTGTCTTTGAAACTGATTGGCCTACACCAGAAACTGCCTTTTTTATGGCCTTGTCTCACCAGTGTGAGACCAGAGAACTCCAAACACCTATTCTTATCTTCATCATTTTGGATACTGACAAAAAGTTCCCCTAGATATGGAATATACATGTTTCACATTTGGGCATGACCAAATGCACGTTCACGTTTACACATTTTCTTAGCAGCACATAGAACACGGATTAACGAAGGTAAAGCGGATTATGTATAAAAACTAAAACTGCATGGGGCACATTTAAGTAGTTTGTTACCCCACGTTTTCCGAAATCCAATGAAGGTAGGGCTTGCAAACATCAAACCAATCCTAGGTGAGGCAGCATCGTACTCAAAGGACCATTATTTGTGATCGAGGAAATCATACATATTCTGCTATGTTTCCTCGTGGTATACCGCCAGTAATTATTATGTTCGGCAAAATTGTTGTACTTAACTTTTGGTCATATTCATCTCAAGGCTTTGCGAAGTTCTTCAATCATTTCCTAAATTTATTTTCATTGCTTTATTAGAGGGACTCGTCCATCAAAATAATATTTATTTAAAACTGGAGGAATCTGACGACCTATGGAGCTCTTTTTCAGAGATTTCCAGTGTGGCCTCCATCCAGCAGTGGATAGAACATAGTTATAATCGAGGAGAAGAAGGGCCACAATAAATCACTGTGTGAAAGTGCATCGGAAGGTCTGAGTATTGTGACTCGTGTGAGATGGCGGTGAGGCACAGACCATGGAGCATCTCTTGGTCTGTCGGCTCCTGGAGGAGTCACGCACCCCAGAGGACCTCGCCAGGGCTGCAGACCGGGCCACGTCATCATCAACATCACCACGACGTGCCCGATGCGACCGTGGTGGCAGGGCACGAGGTGTATTATATAGTGTATAGAGGTTGACTGTCAATTTGGAATCTCAAATAATGCAAAAAACGGTGAATGCAACTTTAATCCAAAACCCAATACGTTCTAAAACATGTCATGTCCATATTGTCATCTTCAATGTCCATGTCCTCGGGAGTCGATAATTGTTTGCTCCTTCATGCGTTTGACCTTATCAAACTCTGTCTAGTTGGTCTAGATCAGGGGTGGGGAACCTTTTTTCTGCCAAGGGCCATTTGGATATTTATAACATACAAAATTATCTACTTAAAATTTTGCCTATTATATTTGGTCAAACATTTAATTAAATCACCGCTAATGTGATGGCTGGAACTGCTTTCTCTTTGGTGAGGCGTGTGATGTTAGCTGGTATTGATGATGTTGCTACTTGCAACTGCTTTTCCAGGTTTGCTCCTAGATTTATTTAATTTCGAGTCCCGCCTGCAGTTGCCTTGGCAGGGCCAGACCAAATGATTTTGCGGGCTTTATACGGGCCCGCGGGCCGGACGTTGCCCACCCCTGGTCTAGATGATCACAAAAGTTTGGTTACAGAAAGTTGCAACCTTTATGAAGAAGCATTTACAGCACCTCAACTATGCGGTGTCATTGTTGAACTTCTCTACAAATATGAGAATAGGTTTTCCCTTTTTTTCTGTCTACAAATGTCGCAGATGTCGCAGACAGCAGATGCTTACCTAAAACCGGATTCCCACCACCATCCATCCCAGAAGAATTCCCTCATCAAGACTCTATACCATAGAGCCCAATGCATCTCCGACCAGGAACACATTGCCAGTGAACTCAAACACGTACGCCAAGCTCTTAAGGCTATTGGTTACTCCGACTACACAATCCGCAAAGCCATCACTCCTACCATTAAGAAGGATCCTGTTGAGGAGCCTTTCAAAACCATCACCTTACCCTACATTGCTGGGGTCACAAAAAAGATCTCCAAAATCATGATTAAACACAAGCTCCAGGTCCGAT